AGAAATAATCAACTGATAGCAGATTCTTTCGTCCAACTGGAAAAGAAAAAGATGGAAGGTGATCAAGATAATTACGGGTGTAATAGGATGAATAAATAATGCAGTTGTTATTACAGACGGAAAGGCAGCAGGCGAGCAGGCGGCTAAGGGCAGCGGCTCAGAGGGACTAGGACAGTGCTCGTTTGTTAGTGACACTTATTCAGCAGGACGATTAAAGCGATTCTATGTTTTTTGGTGAAACTGGCTATCTTTTTGTTTCCCCATCTTCCGTCAGTTTCGGAACCTGCTCCTCCCGCTGCTTCACCGCTAATTACAGAATCGCTTGTACCCGCGGCCCGAGCGACTGAAGCAAAATGTGATTACCAACTGAATCACTGCTATCGCAAACTCTGAATGCTCTGTAAGGTTCTGGTGACAACTGGCGACCCTCAACTGGTGACAACACCGAAGCAGCGAAGGCATTCTTTTACAGAAAATGCTATGATCCCCAACAGAGGACGAAGAACTCAATAGTCTAACCTACCTCTATATGGCGCTTTTTTGCTTCACGCGAATATGCGCTAGCTCGCGCCAGTTTCATAAAGCGGACGCCTAAGGCGCGTTAAGTAACCTCCCACCGATGCGGAGTGCGATCGCAGTGTTACCAGGAAAGGTCAACAGGTCAGCCTGGCCATTTGCAATGAGATGCACATCACTGTACTCATCTTGACACGGTGAACTCAGAACTGTCTTCAAAATTTGCAGAACGATTCTCTGAGCGGAGTTATGGAGGTTTTTCTTTACTGTTTTTCTTCTTACGGGCGCGCTGGCGCCGAAGCGTTGGCACATGTAGCGCGACTCACAGCGCTCAAAACAGGTATCATATTCGTGTTCAGGGGGTCAAATAACCCCTAGAGGACGTCACCTTAGCAAAATCTGAGCTTCTGACTCAACTTCGAAAAAATGGGGTATGGATAGTCATGGCTGACTGATAGCTAACAGCGATACTATGACTAGCATACTGGTGATGACTGGTCTTCGAACTGAAATAACTCTTCAGTCATGTCTTTTCGCAACAACAGTACCTGGCTTACTTATTTGTGCCGTCTGCATCATTTTCTTGACTATCGGGAGGAAATCCCATTCCGAGACCAGTCATCGATGGTAGGTGAGCTCCAATCTGCTGCTAATTACCCATGGAATAGCCCACATTTTCCAAGTGAGGTCGAAATATCAGATTCGGCTAGAAACTTGTCCCCAGGGGTAATTTAACCCGCTGAACATGAATATGATGGTATTTCATTGCAAAAACCCTTGTGACACGTGTTACGAGGGGTACAAGCAGAAGCACTCTTTCAGGCCACAATGGGTCTACACTTTCGAAAAAAAAAACTGATCGCAGGTTCCCTTATAGGGTAGTGCAGGCGAGCAGAGATGTTAGAAGCTTTGTCGGCTATGTTCTTGGACAAATGCAAAAAAGGGACCTGCCCCGGAACCGATCCTACGACGTCTCGCCTAAGAAACCCGCTCCCTACCCGTTGCGCTCTGCTACCACGTTTCAGAACGACTCCATACATAAATGTAAAGACGCTTCCACGTTTCCTCGCGATAGCATGTGAAACGACCATGCGGGGATAAAACCCTCCATAACTCCGTTCAGAGAATCGTTCTGCAAATTTTGAAGACAGTTCTGAGTTCACCGCGCATACAACGGTGTGCAGCTCTTTGGAAATAGGCCGGGCTGACCTGATGACCTTTCCTGGTCAGTTGAATCCATACGGCGAGCACGTCATGAGCTTCAGTGTTGACCGGTGCAGAAGCAACATACAGAATACCGGACTGGATCATCGGATAGCCTAGCTGGCCTATATGCTTTACAGCCTTTTAGAGTCAAGTAGTTATTGACTCTAAAAGGCTGTAAAGTTCGAAAAGTTGCAGAAAATTTGATTGTGGTGTAAGCTTGGGATGAACAGGAACTGCTAACAGTATTCAGTCTGTAACAGCAACTATGCATATCAATATCATTCCAGCGGAACAACGAACTATCTAACGAGTGCTCGCAAATACCCGACTTACCACTAAACAAACCAACAAGGCTATCACAACAAAGCAAACAGGTGGTAAAAACTCATCCCCTTAAACGCTTGAAAAGACAGACGAATCGTAAAACTTTTGGAAAAAGTCCTCAAAACTGGAACCTCAGCTTTTGACCTTGTCTAGTCGGCAAATAGGGCCATTGTAGATCATCTGCAAGTCAACTTTGGGCCCAAACATATCTCGAATGTTGTCGATTCCATATCGAATCATTGTTGGTCTGAATTGAAGGACAAAAATCAGTATCGTAACACTTATGTATACTGCCCCTTGAAGGCAGCGCCCGCGTTCAAATTTGATGAGTATGCGGCTCAGGTAGTAATAACAAGGTAGCAAGTAACCTGTTAGTAAAAAAAGAAATGTTAGTAAAGAAAAAAGAAAAGAAATCAAGCAAATGCCCTATAAGGAACCTCATACCGAATAGCGGTTGTAATGCTTAAGGCGAAGAGGAGTGGTTGCACGAGTTCTCACTTGTTGGTATCAGCTGTTTTCCCTTATCACCTCACTCTCACCACTCCACGTGGAGAGAAGCAGCAATGGAACAACCGCACCATCAGGCAACCATTAGAAATGAAGTTGGGCGGTGTGGTCGGCACGTAGGCGGAGCCGTAGGCTCTTTGCGGGCGGACGCCGCTGTTCCGTTGCATTTTTGGG